AAAAGAAGTCAGAGAAGAGAAAAGGCTGTAGAATTTCATGAGTAAACATCTAGTTATCTTTGAGAGTTGTTTCGGCACAACTGGGTCATGATTCAGAGTGCCAGGGACCAAGATATAAATGGCAAGGACATAAAGGTAATAAGGAAAGTCAGCTCTCTAGAGATGTTTATGGCAAAAGGAAGGAGAGCAGTATGGTCAGGAGCAAGTATTTTGGGGGTTGGGAAACTTGAGTATGTTAGTAAGCAACAGTGGAGCCAGTAGAGAGGAAGATATGAGAGGAGTGGGCTTCTGATGGTTGGAAGACCCCTGGGAAAACAGGATGAAGTGTAGGGCAAGGAAGAGTAAGAAAGTAGAGGCTTTGGTGCTGCTTACCAGGAGACAATGAGGGCCATGGATGAAGGTTAAGGTTGCAGGAGGAAGTCATCTATTCACTACACTCTATCTCTTTGTCTTACAGGTGGAAAACTCCAATTCATGGTCCAGGGGTGTGAGAACATGTGCCCATCTATGAACCTCTTCTCTCATGGAACCAGGATGCAAATTATATGCTGTCGGAATCAATCTTTCTGCAACAAGATCTAAATTCCTGTGCCCTTTCCCCACTTCTTGCTCTGACTCAAGCAGAAAAAGGCCTCCTCCATCGCCCCTCTGGGCATAATTTATATTTAGTTTTTTTCTCTAGTCAACAACTAATTGTATTTGCCTTTGCCTGAGTCCTTGGCAAGATGCTTAAATACAGAAGCCCTCATTTATCTCATCTTCCCACTCCTATTCCTCTCTATTCCTCTGCCCTCTTTGTTCCTGCTGTCCCATCTCCCAACATCTATTTTCAATAAACTCTGCATGGTTTAAGAATAGAGACTCCAGACAGATTTGCTTTTCTGTCAGCTTCAGGATCAGCCTGAGCTTCCTTATGCCTCATATACCATTGCCATCGAGTTGACCCCAACTCATAAGGACCCTATAGGAATGAGTAAAATTGCTCCATATGGTTTCTGAGACTATAAATCTTTACAGAAACAGCCTCATATTTCTCCAGCGGAGGAGCTGGTGGGTTTGAATCACTGACCTTGTGGTTAGCAGTGCAATACTTAGCCCACTATGCCACCAGGGTTCCTTGCACATACTAAAATAAAAGCAATTTGAAACCATTCCATATTTATGAAAGTGAAGGGACCCTTAGGGCAGAGACAACAAATAGGTATGCAAAGTATGGGACCCTTTTATTTTTTAAAAAATTTTTATTATGAATTGAATGAAGGCTTATAGACAAGATCAGTTTTACATTCAACAAATCATACACTTTGTTTCATCTCAATGATAGCAATCCCCTCCATACATAAACCAACAGTTATCCCACTTACTCCCTGTGGTTCATATTTCCATTCCATTGACCTTCCCATTCCCTTCTCAACTTTGTCTTTAGAAACATGTTGCCCTTTTGATTTTTTGAATGATTGATGCACTTACAAGTGTAGTCCACTCTAAAGACCTATCTATTGCTTGACTGAACATTGGGCCACAAGGGTGAGTTCCTTTCCAGAACTGAAGGGTTGTCAACGGCCACAGTCTCAGGTTCCTTCAGTTTCTTTCTGATGAGTAAACCTGGTCTTTTTTTTAAAATAATTTTGAGTTTAGTTCCACATTTTCTCCCACTCCATCCCAGTCCCTCTAATGTAATCCCTTTTAGAGCAGTTGGTTGTGGTAACCAGGTACCATCTAGTTCTTCTGGTCTCAGTCATGGAGACTGATGTTCACATGTTCCATTACTCCACTAGACTAATTGATTTCAAGCCTCTTCAATTCTTAGCATTGTTCTTCTGCACAAGGAAAGACCTTAGATAATTGCTCATGAGCTTTCAAGATTTCAGACACTACTCACCAAAGTAGGACGTAGAACATTGTCTTTGTGGATTATATTATGCCAACTGACCATGGTGTCCCCTCAGACTATGATCCTGAACCGCCAGGCACAGCAACTCATTGCCTTAAGATGGATGATAATATTTTGGAAGTTTGCATCATTTTGCCTGCTGTATGCTCCTCCAGATTTGTGATGTTGCAGGGAAAGTAAATACCCATATACAAATATCCTCTTTCCAACTTATATTGATGTAGGATATTTGTTGTTAAGTGCCATCAAGTTTGTTCTGACTCACAGCAATCCTGTATAGGGTTTCTGAGAAGTTTTATTGACTATGTGGATCATTACAAGCTATGGACAACATTGTTAAGAATGAGTAATAGGGGGCTTCCAGAAAAAGATGACAGATCGGGTGGAAGTGTAGTGACGAGCTCTGCCGAGAACAACACAGAATACAGGACCAAGAAGGCTCAGGGAATGGTCCCAGTACTCTGAACCACATATAAAGGAATATTTAGAAGGTTGAAAGACTTACAGCTGGGAAGTTTGTGGCACAAGCAAGAAATCCA